TTGTCCAGGACCTTGCGGGACAAAGGCCAAGAATCTGTCGACAGCCGCCCCCCCCTTCATCTGACGGGGGCAATAGGTTGGTCCAGCCCTGCCTGGGCATCCTGGTGATGACTCCCAGAGGACTGATCTGCACAGCAAAGGGTAGGCCTAAATCTTTTGATCAAAAGTTGGTCCTCTTTTAAAAACCTACATGTTTGAACCTAACAGAGGCAAGGAGGAAGCAAAGGGGAAAGGAACACACACGAGGGCAACAGATACAACAGAAAAATCTGAAAACTAAAATAAATCTAGAAACACAAATGGTAAATGAATGGTAAATGGCATGTACTTATATAGCGCCTTTTTTCAAGTCAGGAGACTTGACCAAAGCACTTTACTCTACATTCATTCACCCATTCCCGCACACACTCACACACTGATGGTGGCAAGCTACATTGTAGCCACAGCTGCCCTGGAGCTCACTGACATATGCTGGGCTGCCGTACACTGGCGCCACCGGGCCCTCTTACCACCATCAGTAGACAATGCAGGTGAAGTGTCTTGCCCAAGGACACAACGACAATGAAAGTCAGAGCCGGGGCTTGAACCATCAACCCTTCGATTTCAGGGCAAACTCCAACATCCAACGCCAGTGTACACCGCAAAGTAGGAAATAAATCAGTAAAATAATCGGATCGAAGTAACGGATCAAAGTAAAAGAGAAAGTAAGACCGTGACAGTTCCTAAGTTTTCTTTTGATCAACTATTGCAAGAGACCGACTATTGAATTAACACTGCCTCTGTCCCTCTCTGACACTCTCATCCATCAAACCATATAAAACCACTTACAGAATGACAACTGTCAAGAAGATTGAATTTCTCTTCAAGAGTTAGCATCTGCTATTTCCAAGTAAAATCAAGTCACAGCATCATTTAGTGGTTCTGGCCCACTTTCCACTGCCTGGAAGAGAAGGGTATGCTACAAAAACACTTAAGAAAAAGTAGCACCTATAGAAATTGTGCTTGACTGCCATAACAAAAATCATTTTAATACATCTCTTGACTAAAATCCTTACAGTAGATTCTAAATGTTCAAACTGTCCTAGATGTGTCAATCAATTTGAAATATCTCCATCAAAAAATGAATGTGACACACCAAGGGATTTTAAAACACAGCTTCCTGCAGGAGGAGAAAGGCTGCCTGCTCACATTTCAGCACCTTTTATCACTGCTCCATTCACAATAGAGCCTTTTATTAACAGATCACAACAGGATTCAAGATTCAAGAGACTTTATTGTCATTCACATCACGTGTTACATGAGGTAGAATGAAATTGAGAGTCACGGCCCCAGTTACATCCGAATATAAAAAATAAATTATAAAAACTAGCTACAATATCAAATTATATAAATAGAAAAAATATTTACAGATATATAAAAATAAGAAGTAGAGAATAAAATGTATATTAATAGGAATGTATAGGATGGATGAAGTATGAGTAATGTAGCAGCGTGGGAAGATACATTTAGCAGTGCAAAATTTTAAAGTGTCTGAGTGTAAACTGCAAATACAGTGTCATTGGGGGGGTTAGGGGTCGAAGTGACCAAGTTATTGTTAGGGACAGTTTGAGAGTCTCACAGCTTCTGGTATGAAGCTGTTTCTCAGTCTGGTTGTCCTGCATTTGATGCTCCGCAGCCTCCTGCCTGAGGGTAGCGG